GCAAAACAATTTTCACATTTCCACAAACTAAGTAGCGTTCATTAAAAAACTATCCAATGTTGTTGTGTATGAGGAAAACTTGAGGTGAGGCAGAATTACCTCTGCAGACCACAATTACTACTTACATTTTATCCAACTTTAAACCCCCTGAGATGTTTCAGGCAAAATTCCTTTTCGCGGGATGACTATTGACCTAAAGGTGTTGGCGTTTGCCGCTCAAGCTCTACAAAAAGAATGACCTCATGCTGAAAAGTTATTTTCCCTCCTCTTGCTCAAGATTCAAGGTGTAGATATCGGGTTTTAACATTTTTCCACATGCTCCACCTGTGATTGGCTGAGATGATTTTTTGCGGCATGCTGACAAGCCACAACCACATGTACATTAATGCACGCAAGTTGACATGAGCACATTAATTTCACTCTGAGGGTGAAGCAGTATGTAGAACAAAAGTAAGCAATTGTAAATATAGGCCAGTGTGGGCATACCACTGGGTGATAAAAAAAAATCAAGCAAGGGATGTCTTAGAATGCCCCTCTTTCTCTTATCAGTTAACCAAAGGCAGCATCAAACACAGCCTCTGGCACTGAATCAGGGTGAAGAAGAGCTGATGATTATTTTATCAGCTGGAATTTCCAGATACCACGGGCTACAAAAGTGACTAGTTGATGGAGCTCAAACAACTGGTGAGAACAAAGTGTGAGATGTGAGTTAAACTCGCATTTTGCACACTTTTTCTTTCTCTCACAACATGCAGTGCAAACCAGATATTTATGCTTCTTGAAAGCACAACTACTACCTCCAAAGGAAAAAGTCTTAAATAACACTAAAGAAAAAATAAGAGCTTTCTGATAATAGCTGAGTCCCTTGAACTCACTTTAGTCTCATTGTTGTATTGTGTTTTTCATAAAGATTGTTATCCAGACATTTACTTTGACATCTTTTCAGGTTTTTCTTTTCTTCCCTTTTTTCTAAAGCGGAGAGGGGACTGATTATCATCACAGTTAAGCAGTGGGGCTCCAGGTAGCATCCCTATCATGCTAAAATATGTGGTCTGATAAGAGAAGCCAACACACATTGGTTCACTTCCCCCCTGTCACTGAGTAGTTTTTGTCCCAGACGACCTTCCCTCCTTCCTTTTAGATACCCTCAGTGAACCAGAAAGAACCAAGATCAAAACAGACAAGAGACACACACGTACACACATCGGATGACAAAATGATTGGTCTGAAGTAGTTTTCAGTTGATTCTTAGACAGCTGTTTTTATTTTTAACTCAAGATGCTCTTGAGTACATTTTTTCATTCCACTTTTTTGCCTGTTTTGTAATATTTTGGATATTGCTGTGTTTGGACCTTACTGATTACTTAAAAAAAAGAAAGGATTTTCTTCCTGTTTCTTTTTCGCTAATTAAAAGATGTTTTGTGTTTTTTAAACCAGGCTCATCAGACACATACTAAGCTCTGTTAATAAAGGAAACACATTTTTCCTGTGAGTACACTGACCTGCACTGATATTAAGTTCTGCCTGCAGGATTTAACCATACAATCGTCATTGTATGACGATGTAAAAATTCTTTTTTAAGAACAACATTTATTTTCCACCAAAATATTGTGAAATGGCAACCACATGATCAAGACACAACTAATACATTCACCTTCCTCAATTAAAGGGTCACAGTTATTGGCTTTGTTCAACAATAAAAGCATATGAACTATATTTTTCAGTCTTTTGAAGCAGAAGTGGCTTGTTGTATACAATGTTTTTAATAGTTCTTTCATTGTTTACACATGCTACCACCACTAATGGTATGCTCTGTGATGGTTCTTACTTATACAGCAACAGCTGTCGTCCCTTGAGCGGTTTTTAATTTCAGTAACCTGAGAGGTCTGGACAAGCCTCCATCAGTGGTTACTGACAAACATGCCCCTGCACTGTAACATACCCTGGACCTCCAAATCCCTTTACCAGTCTCTGGATAATCAATCAGTCGTGGGCTCTTTTCCCCAACAAACCTTTCAGGGTTTTTTCTGAATGTTCTCGCTCTGCACCAGGGACATTTCAGTGCCACCTGATCTTACTTTGAAGCCTGGTGTTTCTGCACTTCTTCTCTTCACACCCATTGTGGTATGACAGGTTCTTCAGCCAGGCCTCTAGGCAGAGATGCACACTAGCTGTTTTTGAGATATCATCATCACTTAAATTGAGTTTCCAAGCAATGATTTAGATTGAGTGGTTATCTCATTACTATCTTCTTCTATCTACGTCATTAGTTTTAAAAAAAGAAAAGGAAATGCTGATGTAAACCACAGATTTGACAATTTTTCACCCTTGCTCCCTTTGGTACATCGTCTTCTTGGAGCTCTGTTTATGCATATGTTTTCAAATGACTCATGTCTTCTGGAAATGTTTCTGTCTGGGTTTAAAATTCCTCATCTTTACAACTCTCTCCCTTGCTTTTATTCTTTCTCTACCTTTCTCTTCCATTGCTCAAAAGCCAGGATTTTGAGGCCAAGCCAGGTATGATCATATCCTGGTCGTTGATATTCTCAGAGGAGTTTGATTTTTCCAGTGTCTGGAATAAATAGGATTTTTTTGCAGACAGGGATCTGTTTACTTGAGTCCTCCTCCAGATTGCTTTGTAGATAAGTGTTTGGTCATTTCTTCCATTTTCTTGTCACAAACGAGAATTTAAGTGAACTTTTGCAGCACCAAAGTGCTTTGAATTACATTGTTCTCCTCTAGGGCGCTCACCTGTTGATTTGTTCATCTTAATGCATCATTTTTACTATCCGTTTTCTATTTGTATTTCTTTTTTGGTGATTTTAATGCAACATGGCAACGACAGACTGTTAAATGCAAGGGATTGCTAGACTGGAAAAATCTAATTGTGATAGGAATACATTGTATTTTAGGAAGTGTTTGATTAGGATACTGAAGGATTTAGAAAACCCTAACCTCATGTGGGTGTAGGGCCTCTTCAGGTACTCTGGCTCCTTTCCACCGTCTAAAAACATGCATGGTCAGTTATTGAATATTCTGAGAAATTCCTTGTAGGAGTTACTGTGAGTGTGAATGGTTGCTATCTGGTACATCTACCTGTGGCCTTGGATAGGACTGCTGACCAGTCCATGGTTGACCCGCCTCTCACCCAGTGACTGTTAGGATAGGGCCCAACCCCCAGGACATTAAAGGAAAGATGGTTAACTTTATTCACAATTTGGCCATGAGTTTAGAAGTTTTGGTGTCTACATGACAAATTCTAAAGACAATGTCTAAAGTTATACACAGAGATTTATTTTATGACAGTGCTTTTGTACCCACAACTGTAATTAGGTGGGCCACTGCCAGTGGCAGGCCCCTTATTACCATTGTAAATACTGATTGGGGGGCCACTGTTAGCGTTAGGCCCCCCTATTGCTTTTGTGCATATTTATTCCGCGGCTCATAGTTCTACCGTTTCTGTATCGATTTTTTGCGTCAAATCTAGTCCCACATGGTTCGACAGATCAGGCCCAAAATCGTCACGTGCGTCCGACCCGACCACGGAACATGTTTTTGTATTTTTCTCTTTCATTAGTCAGGCGCCTTCCCATAGGAAAGTAATGGGAAGGCCAAAAAATTGGCCCAAAACATGGCTAATGTCCGGGCCTCGGCCCCGCGACCTCCGAGAAACCTCATTCGAACATTGAACGGGTCATGAAAGACAGGCCTCCGCCATATCGGAGCCATGAGGCCCGATTTCGCACCATTTGGGGTTCCTGGAGCGGGCAGTAGGTGGTCCCCCTTCAAAATTTCTTTAGAAATTTTCTAGTTTGAGTAGAAATAGTTCACAACTTATACATTCAAAGCCATGTTTTTAGCCATGTAGTCGAGAAAGGATATTGAGGGTGTTGGGTGAAAAAATATAGTGCTCATATCCACAGTATTTTTTCCTCTGGCCATGTCCATTCTTATTTATTGAGAACCGAAGAAAATCCTTTGAGTCATCTATGAGTTTTATGTTTTGGGGAAATGTTGGTATTTACTCCTTCAGCCATCAATATAGTGCTGACTGACTGCTCACACCAGCTGGAAAGGAAGGGAAAGTGTCACTGCAGCTCAGTACCTTCCACTTTCACTCTAGTGAAAGGAATGATATAACACAAAATTGTAATGGTTTTGAAACTATAAAGCAAACATTTTATGATATTTGTTTATCTGAGTTGTAGTTACTGAAATAGTTGATAGTTGAAACAGAAGTACGCAGAAGAAAGGAGGATTTTAGACAGAAAATAGTGTTTGACTTCTTATCAATGTTTGAAAGAATGTTAGCTTTGGAAGAAGTAACAATTAGAAGTCTGTTAATAGTTAAAAGAAGACAATGGAAAGCTAGGTCTCTGTCTTACATGAGTTTGGATTCAGTAAACACATGCTGCGAACCATCTTACTCGAGTTGGACCAAGTGATCATGACAAGGTTAACACTGGCAAGAAGAAAACAAGTTAAAGTCTCAAAACGTACAAGTTTGTTTCAACTATCTCACAACAGTCTGTGAAAATCTCTTTTAATGTCAGTCTGAGAACTAAAGGCATAGTTGCATACTGCAGAGATGGTAACAGAGAGCTGTGAATGTTTTTTTCCCCTCTGTTAACAAAGACTCCACTGTGTGAAAGTTCAGAGGCTACATATCAGAACCAAGCAAGTGCCTTTTAGGGAGAACACAACAGGCTCTCTTTTAAAGTTTATCAGCTCAGGGAGAATGTAACCAACCACAGAGCCTGTTGAAGAAAAACAATCTACAACATAATAGAGCTGCATTTTTACAAGGATAGTCACTTTGCTTTACCAGCTATATTTCAATCTAAACAAAAGAGAATCTGAGAGAGTCAAATATCTGACATTTGCCCAGTGCATCTGTGCGAAATGAGATCATGTAGAACATTACGATTTAATTATTTTTTGTATTGTCAGCATTTTTCTGTGATACCATTCTGCGAGTTTGTTCTCATGGGATCCAATAGCTGTTTTATTTCCTTGCTTTCCAGGTTGAGCTACATCTGAAGCCAATTCAGTCGATGTTACGCCACCAGAAGCCCCTGGTCTTTGTGCTCAACTCCCCCCAATCGCTCATCTGGAATGTCAAGGCAGAGAACCTTGCCCCGTACATCAAACATACCTTTCATGTGAGTCCAACATCATGAAAAGCCTTTAAGTCCTTCTTCCTTAAACACTGTCTTCATTTCCACAACTGTATTCCTGTTTTGGATGCTTATGCCCATGAGTAGAATATTGAAAAGAATGTAAATTTGGAGAGGCTTTTCTGTATTATAAAAAATTCTTCCCATGTTGAGGTGTTGACTTCGGTGGAATGCGTGTGCAGTGCAACAAAGTACTAACTTTACATTATTTGTATTGAAGTAATTTGGATTGTAAATGTAATTGCAGGAGTTTTATATATAGCAAAACACTAATTATAGAGAAAAATAATCCATATGCTTCTATTAACTCTAAAGAGCTTTGTTAGAAGCTCAGATGTTATTCAGATTCACTAAATAAATCTGAAAAACTGATGGATTTCTGTTAGTGCCTACTCAGTCAACACGGTTCGGCCTGGAAGGGCTGTACTCAGTGTAGGTAGTTTTCCATTAAAAATTACGACCAAGGAGAAAGACGGGCTGACCAGTGCGTGACATCATTCACATGCAACCCAAGCAGCAACAACAATCAAAGACACCGCGGCAACTATAAACCAACTAAAGCTCAGTGTTGGACCATGGTGTTGGTCTGTATATAAGGCATTAACAATGTTTATGGTCAGAGCAATAATGAAATTACATCATCGCTGTTGCCCCGTTTTTAAAATGGACAGGGTTTACCTGATGGAGTCGCTATTTAATCATGTTACTCCCTCACAAATTATCTGCAGTCTGCCATCAGACCCACTCAGCCCTGATGGAACCCCAGCTGAGTAGGTGCCAGTGTTGTGACTATTTTGTGGGGCCAGCCCTAAGTGGAAATGCACTAATAACGTGTAAAGCCGTGCTGCGCTGAGTAGGCACTTGTGGAAATCTGTCATAAGTGAGTCTGAAGACTTAAAACCCTTAACAGTGGTTGGATGGTGCGGCACCAAAGAGTAAAGCACAAAAGCTTTATTAAGTAAGGATAGGATTAGCTGCATATCTACTCATTTCAGGTTTAGGTTTGTTGAAGGATTATAATCTTAATAGTTGCACATAAAATGACACCAGACAAAGATAATTCAGCTCTTATAGGAGTTCCTTTTGTTTTTAAGTAGTTAATTATATTAAAATAGTTAAACTGAGGGCTTTGATTAGCCGGATTCAAATAAGGGAGGATGAGAGAAAGAGGGTGCCAGCCATATTTGGTAAATCTATCACCAGGGGGTCTCACTGGAAAACTTGATATATAATTTGTAAAAATGCACTGTTGCACTACTATAGTTCAAAGCCTGTTTATCACATGAGAAAATCACAACCAAATGCACTCAGAAGCTTTAGTCCTGCCTTCATTATGCCATATGAAAACTTTTTGTGGTCTAGAGGCTTTTATGTACTTTTGACTTCCCAGAAGCAATAAGTTTCAATTGTATGTTAACACCACTGCATTGTGCAGGAATGCAGCATCAGGTACACAAATGATTTCCATGTGTGGAGAAATGTTTTCTTCCTTATGCCTGAAACACAAAACATCCTGCTGTAACAGGCAGTTGATGGAAATGTACAGATTGCAATAACCGTGTGCTTACACATTTCATGCAAATAAAATTCACAATGAAATTTAATTTACTTGATTCTTATGTGAGGTGAGCTAAAACTATCATTTCTGTTGTTACTCTCTCATGCTTGATTTCCGTCAAAGGTTACACAAAAAATACCACATAATAACCTGAAGCCTGAGAGTTAGTACTTAATTTGAAATTCCTCTTAGCAACAGAAATATACCGCTTTATAAAAAAAAAACAGGAGCATATCACGCTGATTAATGTACATTTGACCTGCATGGGTTTTGAATGAATTAATGAATTCATTTAAACAAAAAATACTAAAAGAAAATTCCCTGAACAACATATACATATTCAGAAAGAGTATTAAAAGGGATCAGCTTTGTTTTATAATTACTTTAGCAGTGTTTAGGGATCTTTATTAGTGTAAAGTAAGTCATAGTGTTTTATTGTATTTTTTGTAAATAGTATTAGAGTTGTTTTCTGGAGGTTCTGAGTGTTGAGTCTAAAAGTTTTTATTCAGCCCTAAAGTTTTTAGTGCATGCAATAGTGTATACATGTACAATAAGTACATGCACACATGTATACATGGGAAAGGGTGGATCAGATGCCAGGCACCTAGTCTGTCCACAGAAAAACTAGAGGATGGCACATGAATGTCGTTGGGCGTTCCTGTTACAAACTGCTACATCACTCAGAGAGAGCTCAGCATGACACTACAACAGATGCCTTTGATATGCAACTTTCTGGAGGAGCTGTGAATAACCACTCTGCTTGCTACTAGCTTGGACACCTCAGCCCCCTACTCCAGGCAACTTTCCACCAGCAGAGGACATGACATAGAAAAGCAGGCCAGAGAAGATAGCAGTGAACTCCTTGGATGTGTGGGGAGTGCTGAGTTGGTTTAGCGCATTACCAGGGCAGAAACAGTTTTAGGGAATATCACGCTTGATAGAAATACCTGGTCATTGCTGAATTTTAACAAGCAACTAGCAGTTGAATTAAAAGGCAGATGAAAACAAAATAGCTTATTTTGGTGTGTTATAGTTAAAATACAGTTTCTGTCATTTCAGAATCTTCTGATCAGGTTATTTACGGTATTTATAGAGAAAACCTGCTGAAAATGTGTCTGTGTTTTAATTTTCTTCACACAATTGAATTAATTTATAACATGAAAATTACAATATCTTGATTGATTTTTTAAAGCTGCGCTTATCTCTAACAAATGGGTAAAATATCTCACACAGAGGACGTTTATTTGTTGACTTATTGGTGAATTAATAGGCGGATTATATTATAGGTGATAAAGGGTTAAGTGGTTCTGAACAGTTGAGAGGGAGGCCCCGGCTGTAAGTCAAAGGTGAACTAATGGCTTTTGCTGGCTGCAAGGGCCTCATCTGAATTAAATGTTAAGTATTCTGACCTTAAATGACACCACTGAGGCCTCTGATAGAAGCTGTTGGTATCAGTATCACTTATCTCTGTAAATATAACCCATAAAAGTGCCACACACTTATTGTGTTTTCAGGGTTTTCCACAGGGATATGTCTGTAACATACCACACAAAAGACAGGCCGACAACACTTCACTAAACTGAGCACCACTAAAACAGATACCATTGGTTTAGAGTAATTAATTGAATCACAGCAGTTCTTCTCAAACTGAAGAAAGAAGGCTGTGAAAAAGAACTTTGTTTCTTCATTATATTCGTTAAACCTCTTCCTCCTTCCTCCTTTGCTTCTCATAGAAGTGTTGTGTTGTGCACTAAACACCAAGGCAAATTCCTTGTAAGTCTGAAAACCTACTTGGCAATAAACCTGATTCTGATTCTGATTCTGATTCTGATTCTGATTCCTCCTGCATGGTGATCATGGTACATATGGGGGACAGCTTTACCACCAACAATTCAACAACTAATTCTTACACAGAAATATAAAAGGCAAATTTCATACTCAAACCTCCAATTTTGCCTACTAAACTGATTTTTCTGATGATAGATGAAAGCTTCTGAACTTAGATATTATCAAATCAGCAAGGTTGGTTGAAAATCTGGTTTCGCCTTGACCTTTTGATATTATAACATTGTGTTTTCAAATAAGGATCACCGTTAAGGTAGTAAACAACGTGGCAATGTATCCAAGACTTTTATGATTTATCTTATGATACCGTTCACGGTGTAGTGCCGTTAGTCCATGTTTCCTGGTCCTACTGCTCAGGGCTCCGATGACAGATGGCTGCCTGGAAAAGCTTCATAGATGCTGAGTACAGTGTTGCTGTTTTCAACTGGACCCTGCAGGTTTCTGAAAAGCCAAATTCCAGACTTTTGTTGTAAAACCTGTTCTCTGCTGTAGATTGGCAATAATCTGAAATCATCATGGGTGTGCTGTGTTCATTTTGAGGCCAAATGTATTTCGTTTTGATGGTTTGGGGAGGAAGAATCTTGAATGTTTTTTTGAAAATATCTGAAGTGAATGTTTTATATCTCTTTATGAAATAACTGAGTACAATTTTGGTGTTGGCTCCTGTGTTGCTCATTGTTTGCCAGGCGTCGTCTACTGTTCCTTTTAATAGTGGAAGGCTTGAGTCTGAGCTTTCACTTGAGCACTCTCCTCTCTGTAACTCATGATGGAAACAATGGGTAGTCATTACTGGTATTTATTCAGACAAGGACAGCAGAGTGAACACTCCAGAGTGAGGCTGAGACATATGGTACTGTTTCTTTCACAACAAGCCCCACCACTTCACAGAAACACATCTGGTTCAAGCAGGATCATTAGCTCCACATTTCTCAGCAAGAACAAGATGATCAAATCTGGCACAAAAGCATTTATCACATTAATATTGCAGATAGACTACATGCTCATTTGACATATCAGCCCCTTCAGCACATTCCATCATGCTCTTCTGTTTATGATACTTCTTATTTTGATACAGTTTATTGCTGAATCCCAGGCTGAGGGTGTTGCTAAATTAAAAATTCCAACTCTACAATACTTGGTCTTAAACATTGGTTGAAAGCTTCTCCTTTTGCTGCAACAAAATGTTGATTGTTATCAGCAGAAAGGGCATGAAACATATATGGTTAAAGATTTTGTACTATGCACTGGTGGATGTGCTTTTATCACAAAGGGAAAAAATGTAATTTATAGCTTTGTCTAAAAACATTGATGTTCATAAAGTTATCATTTCTCTAAAGCTGACCTATTTTCTCTTTGTTATGGAAAATCCAAAATAAATACATGTGCTAAAATCCATCAGAAAATGAATTACAGTGTAATGTTGATTTTGATATCATTATGATTATGGACCTACTATATGATCCTAAACACAGTCAGTAGTCACAGAGATATGAGTCAGTGATTTTCTTTTTTTAACTTTAAAAGAAGGCATTAGTGTAAATATATTCAATATCAATGTTTTTTTAGGTCAAAGAGTTTGAGTCAAACGTGATAAGTTGCTGATTTCTGTAAGGTGGCCTAAAAAATTCCTCACGTTTCGAGATGATATTGAGTTTTTGTGTGTTCAGAAATGGTCAACCTGCATGACCTTTAATTAATGATCTACATTCAAGACAGAGTTTTGCAGTTAAAGTAATAGAATGCTTAGTAAGCTCTATTTTCATATTGAGAAGTTATGCCTTAGTTGGCAGTTGGCTGCTACTTCAGAGGAAAACTCTACACATGGGAACTTAATTGTGAATGTGTGTTGGTTGTTAAATTAACCATGTGTTTTTGTTAATGCAGCAGTTTGATTTTTAAGGCATTGACTCACATCTTATCTATAATGAGGTAATGTTTATATACTGTATTCAAGCCAATGGCAGAAATTACTTTTTGGCTTTATTACTTTTTTTTCTGTCAGCTTTGCAGACTCAGAAAGTGAGCTGCGAGTTTATTAAAGCCCACATTGGGTCCCTTGTTTCCCTATTCCAAATTCCTGAAGTTTTTAGTTCTGTAGGCCTGGAACTAATTTGGCTTTCAGGCCTCCCCCCTCTAATTCTTTGCAACTAATGACAGTCTTATTCCCGCAATTAAACTGATAAACTCGCCTGAGTTTAGCAAGAAGAGCGAAGAAAAATCAGCTCCTCCCCTTTAACTTCACTAAGGGCACCACCTCTCTCCTCTTCACCATCTTTCTTTGCACAACTTGTCACTGTAGTAAACACACTAAAAATAAAGTCTGGATTCTCAACCTGAATTCTTTGAACGAGTCTGTCTGCAGTATTTACTGCCTCTTGTGACAATGCCAGGAACATGGAGCAGAGCGTCCAGAGGTCAGACAGATGTTGTGCATGATGATTTGAAAAGTTGTATCTACAAAAATTAAACACCCCTAAGGTTATCTGTTGGTTGCTGGGGCAACTTCATAATATTGTCAGAAAGAAGTGTATCACTCTTTTAATGGATTTAAATGGATTTAATGTTTTCATTTGGCCTGCCAGCACTGTGTCACCTTGTCAATACATAATGGATATTTAAGAAAGATAAACAAGCATATAAATAAAGATGAGTTGAGCTGACTACACCATGTATCTACACTCCATTGGGCAGGCTTTCATCACATGTGAATGTTTATATCTGAAATTAAGAACATGGTTCAATGAAGTGCCTCCTGAATGTGCCAGGCCACTTTTTCTTTTTTTATTAACAATTCATTTCAATTCGATTTTAACTATTAGGATGCAAAAGCATTTTTCTGCTCTTTGCATGTATGTTATTCAACTAACTAAGATTCACTGTCTGTCTGTGTTAAGAAATGTTGCACTTCCTTTTATTTATTGTGATTATTTTGATGCACACCTTCACATTAGTGACAACACACAGCAATGTGGTATACTATGTATTATCATTGGAAACCAGACACCTCATTGTGTAGAGGAACATGTAAAAATATGCAGACCACATTTGTGGAAGCTTTGTTATTATGACTCGGCTGTGAAGGATTTCACCACTGTTTGAGGCGCTGTTTTAATTTTAGGAAAGGCTGTCCAGTACATTATTCACTTCTCAGACTCAGATGTCTGTGGTAAGATAAAGATGAGCAGCACTGAGTTCACCTGAATGTGCAAACTATGATTGGAAAAATAGTTTTCTGTGAAATTCTGTGTGACATTTTTTATTTAAAGAAGACTATTGTAATGAATTCATTCAAAATCTTTTGTTAAAATTAAGGGTAAAACAATGTTTGGAAAGAGCTCACCTGAACAAACTAAACACATTACATTGCAATACAAGCTTATATACCAATTCCTTTTCTATTTTAACGTTCCTGTGTTTTTATCCTCCTCTAGGTATCATTGGGCTCAGAGGTCCACTTTATGCCAGGAAACTTCTCAATCCTCACCCAAATCCAGAGGGAGATACTTCCCCATGGCAATGAACATCTCCTCAACTGGGCCCAGAAGAAGTACAGGGCAGTCACCTCTTTCTCAGAGCTTATGATGACTCAAGATATCTATATCAAAGTTGGAGAAGGTATGCACCAGATTCACAAAGTTCCCAATTATAGCGGTAGACCCCAATGAAGCCCCTCCATCCCATTCCTCTTTAACTTTCATAACTTTGTTTAGCTTTGTGTGTTTTTACCTAATCCAGAGGTTTGCATGCACTACTCAGCTTGCCTGTTATATTTCTGAGTTTTTTGTTTTCTACCGTCATAAGATTTTTTAGACCCCAGAAAAACTATTTTGGTATTTGTCAACATTTCAACAAACCATACTATACAAACAAACAATACTTTTTAATAACATATCAGTTATATTGAAATGTGGCAACAAATATAAGAATAAAAATATTATTTTTTTGTGATATATATATGGGATGAGGTAGGAATTATGCTATTATTGGAAAACTTTAACAATAACCTAACAACGTTAAGATTAACTGACATTATTCTTTAGTCGAAACACAAAACAGAGACATTATTTTAACATAGACTCTAAATTCTTAAAAAATCTCTGTACTTTACTTGTTAGAGGCATATCATTTGTATTGATTTTTTTTCTATTCGAATAGATAAGATCAAGTAGGAAAATGGAAACCATCTGAATTGAAAAATCACTGAAAATGTTTCAACTTTGACACGTTGAACTGACAGCACATCAAACTTTGCAGAACATTAACTCCTTGGTCATCTTGTTTTCACTTTTCCACTGAATGCAAATTTTCAGGGTAAGGCTAATCTGCAACACATGAACAGATGCTGCTTTTCCGGCCAGTTGAGCTGACAATGAAGAGGGGAGATCAGAAAAACAAAAATGAAGGGTGGAGATCAGAAAAACAAACTGTGGCTATTTTTAAAAACTGAATATTCACAACAGTTGAGCAAATGTCTGCTGCTATTTGAGGACAATTGAACAGTTGCCAACTTACAGGGTGATCTTATCTGCCTGGCAGGACAGTGGGATAGGTTAATGACTTCTGTAATGGAGGAATATGCAATCAAGGAAGCAATAGAGATGCCACAGGATGCTGAAGATGAAGTGGAGATCATTTACAAAAACTGTCCTTCTTGCAATAACTAACTGTCCATTTTGCTGCTATCGTGTTCTGAGGTAAAACAACCTCCTTATAAATGCATACAGCCTCATAAAACTTGCTTACAACTTTCCTCTCATCCTGTCTGTAAAAACAGATAGTTTGTAATAGAAACTTTTTCATGCTAAAATGAATCAAAAACAGAATTAGGGCCTCTCTTTCACAATAGCACCTTGAGGCTTTCGTGCTCATGGTTCCTTAGCCAGATGTACGAAAGATGCTGGAGAGTGATAAGATAGTAGGGGGTGGAGCAAAGACGAGTCAGTTGCTGGAGAGGTTACTCACAGTGTAAACAATGTGGGTTTACAAAAGCAGAAGCTTTCCAGATTTTATTCCACTCTTTTTTTCTCAGATCAAGTTCATTTTAACGGTTACTTTATTGATGGGAAAAAAAATAAGCTTTGTTTTAGTTCACCATTCAGCTATTTATCTATAAATGTATGTTGTTGCATTAAATGAAATTGGTCATCTCAGAACATTTTTTTTTCCACATTATTTATAGGTGTACATTTATAAATATTTTTTAACCGAGCACCCGAGGTTGGCCAGTGAGTTTGAAACACCCGGACCACGTTTTTTTCTCCATTTTACCCCTGCCAATACATCTGGTGATAAGTAAGACTTTTTTCAGTCTTGAGTCTGTGGGGTACAGAGTGATTGCTAAGCCTTCAAATTCTGAGATTTCGTCATTTCGTCACGGAACATGCCAACCTTTAGTTTATACTTTGTCTAAAGTTGTGTTTGCCAAATAAGGAAGCATCTGTCTCATGTTTTCTTCCTTGTGTTGAAAAGGAATTTTCTAAATGAGTGAAAAACAATATATATGGTGTGGGATTATCTGAGAATAGCCATTTTGTCATAGTAGTAATAGTAGTAGTACATTTTCCTAGATAAAATCAAAAGAAAAATATCCCTGTTCATTGTAAAACAAAATATAATAACATGAAGACAGTCAACATCATGCTATTTGAAAAGGAAAATGTTCAGTCACAGCAGATCTGTTCAAGAAAACCTTTACACTGAATAAGTCTACTTTTCTGTTGCTGACCTCTGGCTTTAACCTGACCGTGGTGTAGTAACAGTAAGCTCTATTGCCTTTGCTAAATAAGGATAACCTCACAACCTCAGTAAAACAAACACAACTTGTTGTTTCCAGATCCTGTATTTCCTGACATCTGCCAGATTGACACCAAGTTCTTGTCTCTGAACTACCTGGGCAGCCGTGAAGAGCCGCAAACATCTAAAGGTTGCATCCTGTCAAACCCTGAGAAAGGCAGAGAAGTTCATATCATTGAGCTTCAAGCCCCTAACCCCAGCAGGTGAACAGCCGAAGCCAAGAATTCATGTTGTCGTGGTTTATTTTTCATTAAAAAAAACAAGTTGAGCATTAAGGAATGTCCTGTATTCTGTATGCCCCAGATCTATAAATACTTTGGTGGCTGTAGTGTATCTCACTTTGGTACTATCTCATCTGTACTGCATATGTCTACATAGTTTTCTAGTAATGCATCCAGCTTTAATTATTTGGCCAGACAAAGAAGGCATGATAGCACCGCATTCTTGTTTCCCCCTTTTTTGCAGTGCTTTCCAGGTGGATGTCATAGTGGATATACGGCCTCTGAAGGATGATGACCTGGTGTTTCGTGATGTGGTTTTGCTGCTCAAATGTACTAAGTCTGTCAATTGGGTGGTCAAAACCCACAATATTAATGGGAACCTGGATGTTGTGGTAAGATATTATCATGACAATAGACACAAACTTTTTTGGGGTGGGGGTTCCAAGAGCTGTGTTATTATATATCACATTGGCTCATAAGTAATGCCCCAAAAACGAATCTCTTATGCAACAGTGGACAAATAATTTGTCACACCCAAACATTTGTTGAATTTGCACCCTCTTCACATTGCACTATTGCTTGGAGATAACAAGTTCAGAGGAACTCTAATGTTTAATGGTAACTTTCATGATCTCCATTGTTTTCACAAAAGAAAGAGCCAGATTTGGGTATTTAGAGCATATTTACAACATGCTACAATAATCAAGCTGTACAGAATCAGAGCTGTGTTTAATTGAATAATAATTGGTGTTGGATTCAGGCCCTTTTTAAAGTTTTAAGTGGTAGTGAACATTTCTTTTACAAGAAAAATACAAAAAATGATTTTTTTCCTTTTTTTTCTTATGGCCAATGTCAGCATTGACTATAAGTAAGAAGTATTTGAATAAAATCTTCATGACTGCTACTCAACACCTTTCAGAACCTTAGAGAATATTAGAAATATGACACCTTTATGTTCTGAAAAAGAAAGTGGGCAATTATTAATTCTGCTCTTGGTTTAAAAGGTACCAAGTGAAGGCAATAGTGGATACAACAATTCATTTTTCAGTCACAAAGAAACTGACAATATAACAAAATAATAAACACTTGGTGTATAAGTGGAATGCAAAATAACTCATGATATTAATTCACAAGTCAAGAGCAACATCATGCTTTCCACAGAATAAGTGCAGAACTGTGGTATTAGATGTGTTTTTTGTCTATTGATCCTAAAGGTACTGACTTAATTTTGTTTTATTTTTCCTTAAATTTTTACAGGCCTCTGATACAGTGAGTTTAAGCTCACAGATGACAGTGTCAAAATCTCCTAAACAGCACTTGCCATCAGGACCGCAAGCCTTGATCAACTGGGCACAGGAACGTGGTTACAGTCCTGTGACATCTTTCACCAGCACACTTGTGGCAAACCACTTTAAAATCCGACTTAGAGAGCCAGGTGACCAAAAGAAATGTGATTTCCAAGACTTAATTCTGAGCAGTTTCCCTGCCTGAAAAATCAACCTCATAGTGCTCTTTGTTTCTCCCAGATATTGCGGATCCTCTGGAAAGCAAGCTGCCTCCTGAATTATCCATCCTGCACGAATCCAATCCTCAACCAGAAGCTGGACGTGTGATGAGACTGTCTAATCTTCCTTTTCCTTTCCCTCAACACTTACCTGATATGCCCTTTCTGCCCTCTCCTGATGATGACCAGCCCTGGCAGTATGGAGGACCTGAGGAGAAGAAGGGCATTTTGAGTGTTGGGCTCAGCGTACAGTGTGAAGACAAGAGGATGGTGGTCAGCATCAACAAAGAGAGTCTGCGGGTGAGGGGACAGCATGGTATTATTATGATATGATCTCTATGAGCTGTAATTTACAATTATTGTTAATAATCCTAAAAGTAATAATAATAATTTATTATATTAAAGACTAACTAATACAAAATATTTTTTTATCTCTTTATAATGGTGTAGACAAAAACTTTCAAATTAGAAAAGTGCTATTAATCAGTAAGGCTTTTTTTATTTGTTCTACCCATTCTAAACCAAAGTAAACATAATTAGATTTTTCATCAAGAACAGGGTAATTAAAAACTTGAATAAATATCTTCTTTTTGATTTTTACGAAATTGCAGGATTTGTAGATCTGAGTAACTACAGTGACAGATAGGATATGATGAAGATTTTGCAAATCTGATGGTTACATGTAAAGACAGTAATTATGTTTTCATTATGCTTTAGAAACCTTTTAAATTAATCTATTTTACACCAAATTAGCAAGTTTAAGTTCTTCATCTTAGACCTTCCTAAATGAACGTGCCTTGCTTGTCTTCAATAATTGCAGCTCATCTTCTGGATACTTTGTTATGTCACCACCATCCTTGTGATAGACTAACCTTACAGTCTAACAAAATATCCCTTAAAGTAGCAGGACCTGAACATAACACACATTGTGGGTCTCCATTTACCCAGAGTTTAACTTCCAGGGAGTTAGCACTACACCATATGTTGCCTTTATCAGAAATCTAATCTTTCTCTCCTCCACAACAAGATTTCTATTTACCTAGGGACCTGCTCTACTCCACACTGGTTTGCCTGAGCCAAGCCCATTGAAATGAATGGTGGTTTTAAGGAGACCTGAGTTTGAATCCAGCTCAGGGTACCTTTGTATACATTTGAATAAATTTAAATAAGTTAAAATGAATAAAAACAGGTTAAATTGAATAAAATAAGTTCAAATAGATTTGAATACGTCCAAATGTACTTAAATAACTTCAAATACATTTTTGAAACAAATGAATCAAATTAATCAAATTCATTCAAACTAGAAGAGGTGTTCCTGCAAAACAGCTGTGAGAATTCTGATCTGATGAATGAGGTGACCAGAAGATGCTCGATACACTGGAAAAAGTAGCAACAATTTGATACGGACACATTCAAATGTGACAGGAAGTAATCTGAAAGTTAAAGAACAATAGCTGACAGATTTGAACCTTTCAAAAATAGGTTTTTAGTCTTTTGGGCCACCACTTAGCTCACTTGGTGAAATGCTGTCGCCAGCATTCCAAGTTTGAATCCTATTTAGAAAAGTTCCTGGTGAAACATACCTACAGCTTGAAATACAATGTATATTGCTCTAATTATTCTTCTATTGTTTTTGAAAACATACAACTTTCCATCCACAGCTTCTGATCCTACAACTGTTGCACTTTTAAATTCAGCATCTTGTGATGATTCATTCTGTGGTTGGCATTGTCACTGCTGTTTTGTGGGAAAAGCTTTTTCAAGTTAGGAGTTGGAGCTGGACCACCTTGTGGGATTTGTTTATTCCTGAGAATTTGAAAGTTTCATACAATCTTTAGATGGGCTTTCTTATTTTTTTACAGTTCTGAAAATAAATTATTGGAAAGTTTTTTCATTTCATGCAGCACTGCCATTTTCTTTGTTTCCTCAGGAGAAAGGGATTACTCATGCCACTCTTACACTGCAGGACCCAGAATGCAAGGCAACAGACAATGAAACCCACTACACACTAGAAAGTCCTCTTACTGGCTGTCAGACTCTCATTTTTCCAATACACAATAGCCCTATGGCTCTTCATCTCAACTATGTAAGTATATATCTGTTATTACATTTTTTATTCAGAGCCATGGTAAAGTAGTTTATCTTTCTTGTCTATTAAAACATGCTAAGATTGCTGAATGTGTGAGACTCAAGCTTGGCTAAGGCTTGCATGTGCAATCTGGTTTGATATCAACACACACATATATTGTACATATTCTTAATGGACGAAAATAGAATGATTAAACATCCATTTTGATACTAATAAATTCAATTGCGGTAAGTGGTTCTATTCTTATTTCAATGTGCTTTACTCTATAAAGTTTTTTTCTGGCTAGTAGACGTTAGATGTTTTCAGTCAGTTTAAAAAAGTCAGAATTATTTTTTAGAAAAAGTAGCTTATCACAATAACATAACTGAAGATAAAGATAGATGGACATGTTACTAATGTTAGCAAGCAAGACCAACTACAGTCTGTTCTACATGTAGAAATTTGTGTGGTTTTTTAATATTTTCCAAAACATGATGATATTTAATCAAACTTGTTGGAGCATTGAACTGGGCCATGCAAAAGTGAGTTGATTTAAAAATATAAATTTATCCATCCATTATCGTTAACGCTTGTTCCCCAATGGTGTTGCGGGGAGAACTGGAGCCTATCCCAGTGGTCAATGGGTGAGAGGCGGGGTACACCCTGGACAGTCCACGAGTCCATCACAGGGCCACATACAAGACAAACAAACACTCACACTCACTCCTAAGGGCAATTTGGAATGTCCAATCAACCTATCATGCAGGTTTTTGGACTGTGGGAGAAAGCCGGAGAACCCGGAGAGAACCCACGCAGACACAGGGAGAACATGCAAACTCCACACAGAAAAGTTCTGGGTCCCCCGGGACTTGAACCCAGAACCTTCTTGCTGTGACGGTGCTAACCACTGTGCCACCATGCATATAAATCATATAAGTTAATTTCATGCTTGATGGTTTACTTCTGTTTTTACATGCTAATGAGAAGGTACAACCAGCCTCATTGATGATATGGGGATCCATTATTGGCATGGATGGCTTGAGTATATCTCAGGATACCATCCTAGTAGGGTCACGGTTGGGATTAGAACCTATCCCAGCTTTCATTATACAATAGAAAGGGTACACCCTGGACAGGTCGCCAGTCCACTACAGGGCCACAAATAAATGAACAACTACCCACACTCACTCCTAAGGGCAATTTAGAGTCTCCAATTAACCAAACACGAGTGAACATGCAACCACCCTATACTGTGACCTTTTGTTGTAATTTCTGAATTTTGTTCTGATATGTGTCTAACTGAAGATGTTTAGCAATCTTGCCGTCCATCAATCCATTTCAGACATCTTCTTAATCAAATTGACAGTCCCTGGAGGGCAAATCATAAAGATTTAAGGCTGTTAAGCATCTGAATATTTTATACTCTTGCAGACTGGACGTTTCTACAAATCCAAGTCCTGAGTTTTAAAATTGTTTTTAGTCTTTTACTCACAGTTGTACCTTAGTTCATATTTTGTAAATAAGATTGTTTGTTCAGTGAACAACATTTTTAGAAGAAAACCATGTTGTAGCTTCCACATAAAAAATAACAACATTAACAGTACTTGTTAGCTGTTGAGATGTTCAAATAGAATATACCTATAATTTATATAAATGTTTGTATAATAATGCAATGTATAGATGCTCTAGACAGTATGAAACAAAAAATTCTGGTGTAAGACTAAACTACACATATGAATGTTTGTCAGTCAGCAAATTTTAGTACTATTTTTGTATATGCTCATGCAAAAGATTGAGATCTATTAATTGTTCTCTCCATGCAGAAATACTTTAGTTTATATATCTTAAATCACAAAAAAATTTAACAAATTTAATTTAGATTTGGGAATGTTTCTTTAAAATGTTATGTAATGGAGAACACCTTTTTTTTATGGGAATCACTATTCAAATCTGACATTACCAGTTATCATCATAATTATGGAATGCATTTATTCAATTAATTTGTTCTAACAAGAAAGGATTAATCAATTCCTGCCTGGCTTTTTTCAAATCTTTTGTGAGCCGAACTTTGGAAAAACACCTTTCACTGTCTAATGCCCTTTGGAAACTTGGCTTCAAGTCTAGGGTCATCTTTTGTGTTATTGCCTGAATGAAAGGGGCCACCTCTGACATCTGCTGACAAGAGATACATTATTATTGCCTGGTTCCCCACATAACAAAGATAATCAGTTTTGGCTGTTGTCTTCTCTCTGCTCTGGTGAGTTTTTTTAATTGAGCAGTGGCTCCAGTTACAGGTCAGCTAATATTTGGTGCAGACTTAAAAATAGCCATGTCTCATTGAGATTGTCTTCTTGTCTTTGAATAAGATATTTTAGGCAACAGGCCTATGTCAGACATGAGTCTGCTCTGCTAAGAAATTAGAAACATATTTAGTGTTTTATACTGCTTAAGACACCGGATATTTCTACATCATCAGCAATGTTTTTGCTGAACCCTCTCAAACTTTAAAATCTCAATCAGAATCAGGCCATTTGATAAGAAATTAATGTCATGTGTTTTTGTTCAAATGTTTTTCTCTCTTACACCATCTGGTGTTATTTGATGTATTCCAGGTCAGGGTAACTCTTGCTGACACTAAGGATGGGACTGATGTGCTGTTGGATTATGAAGATCAAAATCCAGAAGATGCGCAGTTCCAAAGCCGCTCAGTGGGGTCAGAAAGAACATATCCAGAACCATATATGATAGAGGTAACATTTCTTCAGTCTTTTTTTCCCCCTGTAAAGGTAATTTGCATGTCATTTAGTTTAAACCCAAACTGTCATGTAAAAACCACTCACAAGAGGAGAGTTACAAAACACTTAATTTCTCTTGCCAGTAAAGGCTCATCTACTTCCATCAATAAACTCATTGTTCCTGAATGAACTTGACCTGACCTTTCCATTTGGAAGTTTCCCTTTTTTTCTATATTGACTTACTTACTTTATCCATCCATTCCTCATGTCCGGCTTATCATTTATACAATATCTTCTATGTTTATTTCTATTTTGTCATCCATTTTAATGTCCTTATACAGTGGCAGAGAAATGTAAATTCATGGGGGCCCATCTCAGTTGATTTATATGTTTTAATTTTGCATCAATGTGTTCTTTTTTTAGTTTAATTGCACATACAGAAAGGATCAGGGAATGCCAGAAACTCCTGTAGTTACTCCAAGACCAGCTAGGCAGCCAGTTGAGAACACTACATTCATCATAGAGTTATACGACATGCTCCCACCCATGGATCCTTCGCGCCAGGTCTTCTTCACAGTTTCACAGAATCAGCAAGTGTACGTGGAGGTATGTATAGTATTTACAATACATTAATCTTCATTTTACAGATTATGGTCCACTCTGTTTTTATTATTTTTTATTATTATAACTTGTGTTTTGAACTAACTAATGCTTCAAAGCTTAATTAGCATCGTCAGTGTTGGGCAATTCCTTACAAAAGGAGACAATTCTACATCACAGTAGATAATTCCATCTCATGGTGGCAAAGTTTTTAGTCCTTAACTACAGAGGTTGTGAAGGGCTAAATTGAGTGAATTCTTTTCTTATTTACATTTTACACAATGTCACAAATTAATTGGAGAAGGGGTGGGAAATGTGTTTTGGAGAGGAATGGTATTATGTACCGTACTTAAATCTCCCAATTATGCTCTCCAGGTCACATCAACCACAACAGACCCGGATGTGGGGTTCACCATCATATCATGTTTTATTTCTCCCAACTCTAACCCCAAAGTGTCCTCACAATACATACTCATTGAGACAGTTTGCCCCATGGATGATTCTGTCGAATACTTTCCTGTGAGGGATTACCCTGTCGCTACGGAAAAGATGGAGAAGAAACGTTTCAGCTTCACCTTCAACTCAAAGTTTAACATTCACTCTCTCTTCCTACACTGTGAGATGTCTCCATGCACAAAGAAACCTCAAAAGAACCAAGAACTCCCACCAGTATGTAATAATTTAATTTATTAATATGAATTTATTATATTATAGATTACTTTTGTGTAAGTTTTTGTGTAAGTACTTTATGTGTTTGATGGTTTTACTGTGTCACTAATACTGTTACTATACAATATCAGAAACATTTGTTAAAAAAATGTTTGAAGCATCTTACAGTGCAATGTTCTAATTCTGGTTGAATGTGATTGAGATCAGGCTGATGCTTCTCTGTATATCATTTGTTTGGTTTCAAGGTTTGTGTTTTTGATCCAGTACTTATTTGTGGGTGGTGTAAATATCTGCTTATGCGTTTTTGGTGAATTCCTTTATTACAGTTCTTGTTATTTAAAAGTTTTCTAATTACATTCTATCTCTCATCTTGTTTGTACAGTGCCTGGAACCGAGTGAACCTTGTGATTCTGTTACTGCAACAGATATCATGGCAATGATAATGAATGCTAAAGTGTCTACCAAACCGCTGGCTGTTCTTGATACGGATCAACCAGGTTAGTGTTTCACCTTCTTAGATATGACAATATACAGTTTATGCAGAGTGTGAAAGAAATCCACAAAAATCTAAAAATCTGGCTTGAAGTCAAAAGAGCCAGAGGAGGCCCAGACCGTCACTTGGAGATTAGACCAAACCACAAAATACTATGCATCATTTTCCAACATTTGGTAATCATTAACTGTGGTGTCGGCATGTATATGCAAGCATGGGTCAGTTTACACTGACATCTGTACACAAGAGTGTGTTTCTGGGTGTGTGTGAAGGAGCATATGGTTGAATGTAATAAAGGGGAGTACACTGAGGCCTATTCTGTTGTTCTGAATCAGTCCACACTGAGAACTGTGGAAAAAGAGGAGTCATACAGCACAGAGCCTCAGTTGTTTTCACTTAGGCCCTTTTCTGCGGCCTCCCTTTTCCACAAGATAGGGGGAGAGAGGGGAGTGGTAGTCCTCTGGTGGGTTTTACGAGCACAGCCAAAACCAAAGGCCTCATGAACGTCACTTTTGGAGTTTCTCATTCATCTGCTCATTGTCCCCTTGAGTATCTCAAGGGCTGTCAGTGTGATCCCAGGGAAGCAAAAGTCTGCAGGAGGTGGGATCATGAGTCAACTGCCATTACATTGTAGTAATTATGACCTTAACTCATGATATCAGATATGTTTATATAAATTATTTCAGATAGGGTGATATCATGAGTGCCCATTCTCCAGTGAATTGTTTATTGCAATGATGTCGACAAGAGAGTTATGGTCAGTATGAGTCAGTTGTTCTTAATTTTGATAAGACAAAAGAATGCATCATGTTTGTTACCGGCCAATTCCAGGTTGTTATGGAAATGTCTATATATTGCTTTAGCTTGACTTTATATCTGCTTGTCCCTTCACCAGTAGTAAACTTTGGCCAATTTGTCTCTGATACAGTGACTGGCAACATCATTTGAATAATTTCATCAATACAACTTGTGAACTTTAAAGGTTTTGTAGACAGTTGCAGGTCACGTTTTGGTTGGGATTTTGTACTTTCACCCCCCCTCACAGTTGAAAATCATTGTTGGTATTGGCCTGACTCAATGTGTCATTCTGACCAGAAGTAATTGGCTTCATAACATTCTAATTGGACTTAGTGTTTCATTTAGAAAGAGTATTTAAAAGTCTCAGTATTGATAATAGTAGGGTACTTTGAAATTTAAGTAATGACTGAATAACTATGATAAGCTTGGTAGTTTGCTCAACCAACACTAATATGCCAGTACAACGGGTTTATTTTCTATTCAAATAAGTAAACACAACTACCCTATAAACACAATATGGGGGGAAAATTGCAATTTCTGCTGTGATCTCTTTATTTGAATTCTGTTGAAATAGGTGTTTTTACTTTCCAGTTAAACTGCTGTATTCATACCAGATGTAAGCAGTCTTACTGTTACATTAGAATCCAAAGAATGAAAGAATAATGGTTTGTGTTATTCTGTTTCTGTCGTAAATATCTATGACTATAGTTATTTTTTATGCATAGCTATTTGCTTTAATAGCAATACAGAGCTGTTTTTTAGTAACATACTTTGAAATGGGTAATAATATCTAACAAACATTTTTTTTTTGTTTTTTTGCAGACCCTCCTAACATTGATGAGAGTAAGACAATTCTACCATATCTTAGAACTGCACTTTATCTGCACTTTTCACCATGTATAATTGTCAACTATATTAAATGTCTGCTGCCTTGTTTCCTAGGAACATCATATACCTTGGACACTCAAACAGTAGTGGGGATTGCCTTGGCAGCCTTTGTCATTGGGGCTCTATTGACTGGTGCTTTGTGGTTTATCTACACCCACACAGGTAGGTCCTTTTTAAGGCATCAGTTCACCTCCACTTTAATGTAAAGATAAGATGCAAAAGAATGTCCCAACATCGAAGTTCCTTTAGTGTGCCGTGACGACTGCCTAACATCCTGTAGCTGACAGAGGCCGATTCACAATAACATATTGACTCCTATAGTGTGAATATTTCCTGTTGGATAGCAAGAGGTCTGCGCTTTCCTGGCTTTGACTGTTTTTGGGGCTGTGGATGATCAGCAAATATTCACAGTACAATGGCTGGAGATGAGTTGGAAATTCCCCTTATTGGGTCAAGTAGGTGCTCACAGGAAAAGACACACAAGCTTTCTGTTAGCTGCCAAGACTTTCCCCAAACTCCCCAGCCTACTGACCCTAGCCGACCCCCAAGAGGAAGTCTGCTCCCAGCAGTCAACTGACTTCACCAGCACCTTGATCTGCTCTGCTCCATTAGGATTGCTTGACTGGTGATCAGTTGTACTTTTGGACTGCTGCACCAAACTAATATGTTCTTCTTTCTTATTGTTTATTTAAAAAAAAAGTTTTTTAGTTTTTGTAGCAATGCAACTATGAATGCTAAGCTGGGTTTACAGCTGTAAGAAAGTCATGTTTGACTCTGTTTACAGACCCTGCTCTGATAGCTGAGCATGTAGCCACAATGCTATAGTAATGACAGTACAACAATCCTTTCCAGTCAAGGTCCATTACATTTCACAAGAGTTTACTGGATGACTACAGAATTTCTTGCAGCAGCAATGATCAGCGTAATATTTTTGAGTCCTTACATTTATCGCAATATTTTCTTTGGCTAAGTGACAAACAGAGAAACACATTCATTCTAACAGACTTTTTTTAAGATAATAGATATCAGATATTAATATTGATAGAGACTAGGTTTGATAATAGTGTAGGAATGAGTGCCCTTTATTTTGAAGGCACATGTTTTTGTTTGTTAAAGTATAGAGTATATCACTTTGGATGGCTGTGTTTTGCTGTACTGGCTGAAATTAGCTGTTTACCCTCAGAATGCTGATACCGAATCAACACCCAAAAATTCATTATTTGCTCTGAATTTAGGAAAGGCCAGATATAAAAACTCATCCATAAATATCCTAAATCTGTGAAGTTAATGCATGGTGTCATTGAATATATATTTGTCACAACTGATTTTAGGCTTTTCTAACAGCATGTTTCTGTAAAATAAAAGCCATCTTTATCTCTCAAATCAACAAGGATAATATTGCAATTGGGAGTTCAATTTTCCATTGACATTTTTGATGAATTCTATTCTTTTGCGGAGCTTTTGGTCCTGTGAGGGAAAGTTTGCTGGCAGCCTTGTTGTGATGAACTGGTGTTAAAGAGGGAGTAGAATGGGCGATTGTTAAAGGAAATATACAGCTGTCATATTTGCAAGAGCTTGTTTAACACATTGTTTCTAGAACAAATTAAACTATTTATTAATCATTGTTTAAAAGAAATTTGCTCCCCACTGATCTTAGAGACAGCAGCAATAATGTGGCCAAAAACTCACAATAAAAACAGACTTGTTTTGTTTTCAGAAATATTCATTTGTTAGACTTCTTTGTAAACAGAAAAAAGCACTTGTGCTTGTCATTCTGTTAAGCTTTGGATCAAGAGAGTTTACAAAATCAAATGTTCATTTAGAGATGGTTCGAGCCTCAGTCAAAGGGTACCTTGTTGTTTTTTCCGGTCCATTCAAGTTAGGCTGATTGAATCCAGATAGCCAGAGAGTTGTCATATGCTCTCCCTTTTGAGAGAAGGCTGACAGATGGGATATGACTTTGTCTTACTGTAAAGAAATATGATTTGTAGACATATATTTATTGTAAAACAATTATTAACTTTAAATCACAGTGCAAACAACTTTAAAATTAAATTTGTCAAAAAATGCAAACAAAATGAAAGAATGTTCTTTACTTTGTACTGGTAATAAATGGAAACTCTTCGAGAGGAAGGGAAACAATTAGCAGTTTACAATCAGTTCGCATTGAGTTTTAAATTCTTACCAATTTCTCAAAATTGCTTTGGTTTTGATATGTCTAGGTGAGACAGCTGTCCCACAGCCGGTCCAGAGGTCCCAGCCTGCATCAGAGAACAGCAGTACAGCTCATAGTATCGGCAGCACGCAAAGCACACCGTGCTCCAGCAGCAGCACAGCATAGCCAAGGCTGCCACCCAGCAGGACGCTGAACCCTGCTGCGACACAGGAAATGTCCAATGCTTCATGTTGACCGGTTTGTTGATCTCCTAAAGCATGAACAAAAAATTCAGAAGACTCGTACTACTCATAAAATATTAGTGCCACTTCAAATGTGTCCAGAGAAATGTACTGTTCTGGTATTATTATTGGTTAACAGGAACACTTCCTACAAGTCTTCCCTCATAATTGGCATTCTATTCAAATCCAACTGCTGATTTTTATATGACAATGAGACATCTTTTTTTATTTTTAGGCTGTAACAAATTGTTTGACTTTATACGTTTACTTGATGTTGGCAGCCCTGAAAGTAAGCAAAACAACCACTATTAAATTCTGGACAAATGTGCAGGATGAATGCAATTCAGCATCTTGAGAGATCATTTATCTAAAAAGATTTTAAAAGACAGTGGAGAAATTGAATGTATATCAGAAGAGTGAACAAAACAAATGTGAACGGCATGCACAGTCATATTTTCTAGTAATTTGAATGACTTTAATTTGAGTGAATAATAAGTATGAGTCCATGTCTGGATTGATCACTTATTCATTTACTCCCTTAGCATTTTTAGTGTTAGCTAAATAAAGGACTGACACCAGGATATTTGCGAACAGGTGTTGATATGTTTCTTGAAAGCAGCTTAAAATCAACATCTGTCTCCAAAACATCTGTAAACAACTTCATGATTAAAAAAAGATAAATCAGTGCACAGTGAATTAATGGAGAACTCAAACACAGCTTCAATGTCTTAAGGCATGCTCAACAGGACCAATTCTTTTGAAATACTCAAATGTGTTTTTTTAAGAGGTCATTACTTGCGCAAAAAAAAATAAGCACCAATCCGTCATCCTACATTTTGGATAGAGTCAGAGGAGGTAATTTGTCTATCTTAACATCAAAGATCAAACTACACTTACCGTACCAATGTCTAAAGTCCAAAAATAGTGTTTTTGTATGTTATGCTAATTACCTTCCGTCAACATCATGCTGAGTATCTAAACTTTTTGAAGTTTTATTCAACTTCTTATCTAAAGCTCGAAAGAAAGTATATTTTCCTTATTTTAAAATCAAAATGTAGATTTTTTCATAAAATTTTCTGTGTATTTGTGTGAATAATGTAAATGTTGACATTGTTAAGAGGTGCAGCTGTTGTGAAAATTCCCTTTTTCTTCTCCTGGTTTTAATTGGATTTGTAGTGTGTGCTTCAACAAATTACTTTTAAAAGTATGATTCAGGCTGGTGATTGATAGAATTATCGAATGAAATTAGCAATATTCATGACTTGGTATAAAGATTTATAGTTTAAAACAGCAAGCAGTAAAAAGCTACGAACCTAATGATAAATTGATTAAAATGAACTCTCTCTAAGGTTGCTATTTGAATATTCAACTATATGCCCTCTTATAAGAGAAATATGTAAATAAGACAGAGCAAGTATATAGTGTTTGTATTTCCTTATTCAACGTGTTTTATATAAATCTTGGCACTGATACTATGTTAAATAAGCTGTGGCCAAAACTTATTGTTAACAACATATATTTTTTAAAACAACCCCACTGTATCAGAAAAACATGAATATTTGTTGTATGCTGTGTGTGCATTGTCATAAATGTGGGGATCAAGCTTGGGCCTTGAGAGGGGAGGGAAAAGGGATGATTTCACATAGCACAAAAATGTAAGAATGTATTATCGCAAAAGTTTTTCTTTCATGTTAACTTGTATAAAGCCTTCTACATAGTATAAATAGATATATTTGTGTAAAAAAAGTATTTTTGAATATATTTACAAGAGAATTTTATTGTCATCTGTGTACAAGTACTGTGAATTGTGACTTTGCTCAAACACATTGTGTGTTTTTGGGAAATTAAAATGGTCATGGATATCTCAAATGAGATCAAATGGTATATTGATAGGTATTATATGAATGTCTTGCAGTTATCGAGGTCATGGAAGTCCTAATATCTTGAGTAAAGGCATCTGGACCTCCTGGATCTCCATAGTTATAGCTTTGAAACATACACTACCAGTCAAATATGTGGATTATTTTCATATATTAATTAACACATAAAAACACAGATTTAATTTGACCTTTCTCCCTCATTTTTGGAACACCAGCAAATTTATGCCTGCTTTCCAGTCCTACAGGTAGCTGAAATGTATGTGAAGTTGATTTGCCAGCCATGAAAATGATCCCCATGAAACATTAGCAAGCAACTTGGGTAACCAGTTATAGATGATGAAACTGCATTGCTTGGCTTTTTTGATTGAAAAGTTCTCTTGAAAAAGCTCCTGGTGGCAGCTTACGTAACTCATTGGTCAAAACAGCTGAACTCGAAGCACAAAAGCCATTAATCCAGTAATTGATTGTAATTCTTGTTTTGTTTTGTTTTTCGCCTTTAACTACCTCGTGTTTCTTTAGATGGGTAATTTGTGTGTTTCTCCGATGATTTTCCATAGATTATACAGCATATACAGTAATTGCGGTTTTGTAGTTTGAAAAATATTTTAAGATCAATTTCCTATATAAACAATGATTTGGCCCCTAGGAGTTAATGTGAGCGTGTGTGTTTGTCTCTGTGTGGCCCTGTGATGGACTGGCGACCTGTCCAGGGTGTACCCTGTCCCTTGTCCATTGTCAGCTGGGATAGGTTCCAGCCCCCCTATGACACCATCGGGAATAAACGTTATTGATAATGGATGGATAGACAATGATTTCATAAAACTTACCCATGACACCAATATTTCTTTTTTTATGAGAAGTGTGAACATTTTGAAGTTAACCTTTCTCGGTTTTATCTAGTGTATGGAATGTTTATACGCTGTAAATATGCATGACATTTGTATAATCAATATGACCATTAAAAAAAGGCAATTGGATACAGTCTTCGCTATCTTATTCTCTTCCAATGATAACTTTCCCCGTGGTGAACCACTCCGAAAGCAATAGCAAACCTTTATCTTGTGTTTGTGTCCACTGAACACATAATACATTATAGACCAGTGGTGGGCGACTCTGGGCTTTGAGGGCCGCATTCCTGCAGGTTTTAGAGGTTTCCCTGCTTTTACACACCTGGTTCAAATAAAAATGGATATCTTCTAAAGATTGTTAAGCTCTCCACAGGACTGCTGATGTTGTGTTGGTCTGAGTCAGTTGTGTTGAAGCAGGGAAACCTCTAAACCTGCAGAACGGCTTCCCTCAAGGCCCAGACTTGCCGATCCCAGGTAGAGATCATGTGGCCCCCTGGCAAGAAATTTTCAGAGGTGGGTTGAGACTTCGGACCCCCATCCCTGGCATCTTTGTTTTGAATAAAGATCTTGGACACAGTTGTGAGCGCAGTGCCTTGGATAGGAAATTTACTCATGTGGAAAAAGCAAGACAACATTAACTTTGTCCCAAAACCTTCTGACTTCTTTTTGTGATTTGATGTAACTGCATTTCTATTTTTAATTGCTTTAGGCTGGTTTCACAGACATCCTCCGTTTTCCAACAAATGACAGATTCTTAGCTTTCTAGCAAATAAGCCTCTTTGGACCCTTGATTGTTATGTAATCATTTTTAATACCCAGCACACAGGTTAGTTTTACTGCAGTAATCAATTTAGTAATTGATAGGGCCCTAGATTCAACACGTCCTTCTTCTTTTATTAAGCTAAAAGTTTCCAAAAACTGATTGTGTGGAAGTCATATGAATTAAGACTAGCCCTAAGATCTTAAATTGGTCAGTTATTGGTCAGCAATATTGGAAATTTGCCCCCTCCCCAATTTTTGGCCTCTGCCCCAAAGTGGCAACACATAAAGCACAGAAAGGTGAATCCAAAAGACGGCTGCAGAAATGAGTAAATAGATTTTCTGTTTTGCTGGCTGGTTTTGTTAGCTCTAAAATCTTGCAGTTCAGTGTCAGAATTTAAACTTTTGTGAGAATTTTAACATTTAAGTGTGGCTATTATTGCTATGAAACTCACATAAAGCAGGATTGGCACTGTTTATTTCCACAAAAAAGACCTTTTGCCATTGACCCCCTGTACTTTTGCCAACCCAAGCATATAATCTGTGGTGGCTCATAATACAAACTTTTGAGTTTGTGACAAATGGTAGCTTATTTTAGGGCCCTCATCATGTCATTGGAACTAATTAAACTCAGTTTTAAAGACAATCAGCCCGCTGTAAAATGTAAATTAAAGCAATACAATTATTTATTATTACTGCAAAACACAGAAATCACTGTGTTGTTGCCATCAAATTAAAGATGAAATGATATACATTGATTTTAAAATATTGGTGTGGCAGATAATTATTTCTTTTTGACGTAGATTTTGCACTGTCCCTCAATTTTGATTAAATTTGGAAGTTAGCACCATCACCTCACAGCAAGAGGGTTCCTGGTTCGAGTCCCTGGGGGGCACCAGGACCTTTCTGTGTGGAGTTTGCATGTTCTCCTTGTGTCTGCATGGGTTCTCTCCAGGTGACAACCTGGCTTCCTCCCACAGTACAAAAACATGCACAATAGGTAAATTGGACAATCCAAGTTGCCCCTTTGAGTGATTGTGAGTGTGTGGTTGTTTGTCTCCCTGTAGCCCCAAAATGGACTGAAAACTTGTCCACAGTGTACCCCGTCTCTTGCTTGTTGTCAGCTGGAATTGGATCTAGGCCCTCCGTTACCCCTTTTGGAATAAGGGGCATAGATGGATAAAATGGGATCAGATCATGAAATCTATATTTTGATTTGAGTTCCAGTTATCATTAATCATATTATGCTGAAATACTCACACAATCCTTTTTTTGGTGAGGGGTTATATCGGAGGACTGTTTCATCCAGATCCATTAGATAATCGATAGAAAGCCAAATCTTTAGTCTGATGTAGGGTGTACAATCTAAAAGTGGGGCAGTTCCAACAACTTTAAATTCAACTTTTTTTCTTGAAATCTGATCTCTGTTGAGCTTTCTTATTACTTTCCTAAAATCAGAGTCCCCATTGCATATAAACAACACACAAGCACAAGTAAGATGAGGGAAGGACAGACTTAAATAAGATTTGTTTTACTATCCAGGATCTTGAGCAGAGAGCCACTTCAATAGTTCAAATCTACTCTGCAACCAAACTAAATAAGTCAGGTCCAAGTACCCACTTCTAACTACAACCAGATGTCTCGCCTCACCCAATAACTTGAGAAAATACACACCTTTCATATGATTGGTCCATAGGAAGCCCCATCTTATCAGTGGAAGCTGTCCACAAAAACACATGGGGAGACTTTGTGTAGCAATTACTTTCACAGCTCTTGGCACTGAAAAATGAATAGGCCAGAAGCCTGATTTAGGAATGAAGCATGATATAGTAAGAAAATGAAAGCATGCTTGTGATACTGAGATGGAACGGAGGACATTCATAACAAAACCTAGAAAATTGACTGTCCGCATGGAATACCTTTATGTCTATATATTCATGTGTATACATTAATGTATACAGAAGTAAAACAGTTTCCATGCATAGATAAAAACTCGGGTAATTTTCAATTACAATAAATGGGAACACATGCTTCCAAATACTGATTCAATTTAAGTGACCTTATGATTTTCACAATGTTCAGAATTATTGAAGAGGTCGTGTGTGACAAATTACTTGAAGTCAGATTTTAATAATTGAACAGATTAATAGCTTTACTATGGATCATGAGGGAGTTCTCGTTTTTTAAATATAAAAAAAAACCTTTAGGTCTGCAGAAGCCCGAGGCTCAAAATCTTGTTGGCAAACAAAGGTATTCAAATTTTGTCCCACACTCCAGACATAATCACTGTTCAGATCTGACTGTGAATGACAGTTTCAGACTGTCTGACTGTGGAGGTGGGTAAATGCTTTCCAATCAGGTGTGATTGGGATTTGCTATGGGTCAAGGATACTTGTATATGACAACAAATTGGCTAAAATTCAGCAGCAGTACCTATTGATTTGAGTATTGTTTTTGTCTTAGATGTCTTAGAATTGTTAGGTATCTTAGATGAAAGAACAATGTGCCAACATTGTAATTTTTTTTTTTCACATTTGCATTCAATGATGGTTCTATGTCAAATTTTGGAAAGAGGTTCAAAGACCACTGCCCCAACCCCAATCTTTCATATCTATATTGGACTGGCAAAGTAAAATAGCACAGCACATTTTGAAGGTATCCCTAAAAAGGGCCATTTATGTTGGCTTGAGTTGAGCTAAGTTCCACAGATACGTCTCCATAAAGACTCCCTGAGGACTTCTAAACTCATCTGGTATTTCTTATAACAGACTATACCATGCAGACGGAGAACATTTAACTTCTGCTTCTTTTGCCTTCTCTGGTGGCTGTAAGAAGTTCAGCAGGCACGCTAATTTATTTAAAAAACAGCTCAGAGATTGCACAAAGGTCTTGCTTGGTTGATTGCCCTGATATAAACAGTGGTATCCCCTCTCTGCAGATCTGACCATGTCGCATTGCTCTGCAGAGAGTCTACACCGTATATGGCCAACGTACTAAAAACACTCAGGAATAGGACCCAAAGCAAATTATTGTCAAGGACCTCTGTTTATGGAAGTGTCAATTTCTCCAGTTTTAACATTTTTGTGAGAGCTGCTGTTCATTGCCAGGGCCCAGCTGCACAAAATTTCAACCTTAAAGCGTAGGAAAGAGAAACACGAAGCCCCATTTTAAGCAAGTTTACAGCATGCAGATTTATGTGTACATCTCTGTGTTATAAATCCCACAGGATCAATATGTCACATACACTGCATTAAGGCTAACAATCATCAAAAATGCAACACATTTTTCTGCTCCTGTGAGACCTCCCTAGGCCACCAGATGTTACTGATTGCATCAGCCGTTCAGTTTAATGCCTATAGGTTACATTTCTTCAGCTTTTTCAAATGAATTTATTGGCATTGTAATACCTCAGCGCTGCAATATATTAAATATGAACATTATGTTGAGTAAAGTACTATGACCTTCATGGGCAACGTGAGATTTACTGGAGATTTAGTTGATCTGCTCAATACAGAAACCATAAACGATTCTTAATGCTTTAGATACTTTCAGAAATGTTTAAATATAGCATTGACGTAATGATATAAGAAATTATCAAATATTAGCCTTTTCGGCTGGAAGGGTGCCCTATGCCCATGGGGGGCTCGGTTGGCACACACACACACACACACGCACACACTAACTCATTTGCCCGGACACACACCTTTGAGCTTCTGCCGTACAAAATTTGAAATATATCTTGTCTGTCATTACTACCAGTGTCTTGGATGCCTTCGGTTTTTGCCGCCTGTTTGTGTGTGTCTCTTCCTTGTGTCTGCTTGCTGGTGCTCCTACAGGTTTTCCCTCGGGTTTGCCCACAGTATTTTCAGCTGTTTGTGTTTGTTAGTTTGTGTGTGTCTCCCCGTAGTGTTTGTTTGCAGGTGCTTCAGCGGGTTTGCCTACTGTGACTACAGGACATCTTTCTATAGATACAGCAGCTGGATGGATGGTTTTGTTGTCTTTCTTTTTTTTTTTTCCTCTCTTCCTGTTTTATGGATCTCCTTTTTTCCCCTTTCCTGTCCCCCGGTCAGGTTTGGCATTAACGATTTTACTTCTGTAACAAAAATAAATCT